TTAAAAGAACTGGATGGCTTACAATTTAATACTCCAATTAATATCCAATAAACAGAATTAATTCTCTGCCCCAAACATCTAGCCAAAACAAAATAAAAAGATACACAAACACTTAAAAAGCTTAAAAAACATATTTCATTAAATATAAATGATAATAAACATCTATTATACTTAGGTATATACTAGGTTGTATGTGACCCGTGAACCAAAATGATAGGTATGTATATTATTAAATTATATGCATATACTATTGTACACCACATTATCTCCTTGTTATGTCTCCATGCTTGTTATGTCTCCATGCTTTATGTTATAATTTGACAGCTACTCTTATATTATTTATGTATATATAAATGAATGAAATAAATTCGTTTCAACAAGCTATAAACAAAATATTTAAGCAAGAGATGATAGCATCTAACCATTTAACCAGAATATTACTTCATATAATATTTATTTACTTTTACTTTTTACTTTGATTCTGTTCATGAAATACTGTGGACTTTCGCTGTGTACTGGTGGTAGCGTAAACTCGATAATAGGTGTTGGCGGCGATTTGCAACGCTTTTCGGCTCTGTCTTTTGTGCATGCGTTAACAGGCCGTACTGCAAATATAGTAGTGTTGCTCAAATGAAGTGTGTCCCAGTGGAGTTGCCGTTTGTCGTTGTTCAAGATGGCGCCACCGGGTAAACAATTGTCCGGGCTTTGCTTCTTGTACCGACTTTGCGCACGCGTAAAATACATCGGTCGGGATTTTGCACGTGCGCAGAACACATCAGGAATTACGCCACATACCTGGTAGCAACAGGCAGCACTAACATCAGAAAGGATCGGCGTGTCTCTGCTGTCAGTAGAAATATGGCAACCTTTAGTAAATACCTTACTGCGAAGAACACGTCCGTAGCAGGTGGCGTTATGCTGCTGTTTTATTTGCTAAAATACAAAAGACGGACGAGAAAACATGTCGGGTAAGTAGTGTTTACAACACAACACTACACTTTAGTTTGTTATGCATGTCGACAATATGATTTAGCTACTGGCATGTTGTCATTCTGACAGATGACAGACTTCCCTATTTGTCTCCACGTTGACCTCAAACATAGTCTAACAGCCTATGGTTTGCCGTAATAATCTTGTCTGCTGTTTTTGGGCAGTTCCTTATAGTACGCGCACAGTGACTTATATTATAGCACCGCCATGACTCGGTGAAGCGTGTCGGTTAGACGGTAGATTTGACTCAAGTCTTTTGCTTAGATGTTAGGATGTTAAGCTGACATTATTTTAAAAGGTAACCGAAAACGTTACTATGTGTATATGTGTTACAACAACAGAGCCATGAAAAAATAGACATGCTTTATTTGGTCCATTGCAGGGATTTTACACGTCTTTACCTTGGTCAGCCTTGGCGGTGTAGAACGGTCACCATTAATATTAAACACTGATAGTTTTATGTCTCTCACTTTGTTTTCAATATTCGTTTTCGTATAAGATGGAGACTGTGTAAATGCGAACTTTGTCATCGTAAAGCCTCATATTAGAAAAATTAGAAAAACGTTTGCTTTTCAATAATATTTAGTGCATCATTACATGTTTTCGTACATGTCTTAATTTTTAAAAATAAACTGATACTTTACAACAGGATCTTTGGCTTGAACCCTAATATTTATATTTTCAACTGCCCCAATATAATTTCGTTACTACTTTTGACAAAATTGGCATTGAGCTATTATATTACTCCTGATTTATTGATGTCATAATACGTTTGTTACTGTTGATATTTCTCTTTTGCATCACAGGACTTGAACACGACTGTGCTTTGTATGATTTCCTAACCTTAAAGTGGAAAAAGATGAAAAGCATTGTCAAGGTTTTTGCACCTTTAGAAAAGCAACATAACCACAATGGTAACTAATTTTATCATGTTTGTTTAACCTATTTAGCAGTGAAAGGAGAGACTTAGAACCGGTGCTCAACACTGAGGTATGTTTCTTTTTTACAAGTTTGTTGTATGTTTGTCTTTTTGAAAACTTCATATGCTTTATGTCTGGCATTGTTAAGTTACAGAGCAAACACTGCTGTGTCAATTCTTACAGAAAGAGAGCAGAAAAGACCGTGCTGCAGTAGACAAGATTTTCTTCACACGACTCCTCCAGATTCTTCGAATCTTGATACCTCGTTTTTTTTGCATGGAGGTATGACAGTAGAAATGAATCACTGGATCACAGCTTTATTGATGTTGGAAGAACTAAAACACAAAAGTCAGAAATCAGTGCAATGTAACACATTAATAGTTGGTTTCAAAATCTAGTTATTTCTAACCCAATCTTTGAGATTTGGAATTTACAATTTAGAATTTATTGTTGTATGATCTAAAAGTTAAATAGTACCAGGATGATTACTTTGTACCTTCTTAAGACCTGCCTATTAATACTAAAGGTAGAAATTATACAGTTTTGTTATTGTTATCAGTTGAGTTGTTCCATGGAGGGCCATATCAGTTATCATCTAAAAACAAAACATAAAAGGTTTTTCTATAATGTTATGCTGTATTTTTTTTAATAAATGTCAAACAAAAAAATATGAAGAGGTTAAAAGTAAAGCTATTATCAATCTAGTTGTGTTCCAAATGTCTGGCTTTTACAGGCCAGAAGTTTTTGCTGTTATAAATTTTTGAGACCCATGATTTGGAATGTTATATTTCATTACAAAAAACACAAAATGCTGCAAAATAGGCACAGTGTTTAAAGACATTAAATTAGTAATAATGGTGAAGATGTACCGTTGATAGACCTGTGGCCATAGTAATTAAACAAGTTTGTAGAGAGCTGTGTCATATACAAAAAGAAAGCAGTGACAGTAACTTATGTCTCGTCTTCTTGTTTAGTTTAGCCATAGTTAAACCAATTTCACCTTCCACATGGAAACCTTTGCTCTTCCTCTCACGTGGCTCTGGTAGTGATATTGAATCTTATCCAGTACATTCATTTGAAGAGGTCTAGATAGGAGTCAAGGCTACTGTGATAAGGGATTATACAATGAGAAATGTTTGACCAGTTCTCCTAACTCCTGTCTTCACCTTAGACTGGATACCTTATCTTTATCGCAGCAATGTTAGTGGCCAGGACCTACTGTGATGTATGGATGATCCAGAATGGAACTTCGATTGAAAGGTCAGCATTATTACATTACATTACAGTGCATTGTAATACGTTTAGCTGACACTTTTATCCAAAGCAACATACAATCAATCAGTCAGTCAACAATCAAGCTACAGTAAACATACAAAAAACATACATAATAATAAATAATGAATAGAAAAAGTACAGTTATAGTCATAGTAGGTCATAAAGTAAGAAGAATAGTATGTCAGGACTAAATGTCATAAGAATATGTCATAAGGATAGAAGGTATTAGAGTAAGAAGAGTTGCATGTTAGATGTTAGTGGGTTTGTTAGGATAGGAGATGTGCTTTGAAAAGAAAAGTTTTTAAGTGCTTCTTGAAAGAAGAGAGGGAGGACCCTGCTTTTGTGGCAGCTGGTAGTTTGTTCTACCACATAGGAAACAGGGTGGAGAATGACCAAATTATTGTTATTGGTAATTAGAATTATTGTTTGAAGAGTTGTTACAAGCTTTCTAAATAGACTTGAACTATTACTATTACATTTTACTGTGCAGTGGTGGCTTAGTAGTTAAGGAGACGGATTTGGGTCTTGTAGGTTTCAGGTTTGAGTTCACCAGCTACCAAAGTGCCACTGAGGTATTATGATTTGCCGCTACTGATAGCAGTCTGATACTTTCCTTTCTCATCCAGCATGCCACAAGTTGCCATTGCTGAGGCGCCTGTTTATGGCATGTAGCTCAAAGTTAAGCTAAGCTTTTGGGCATAGGTGAAAGTGAACTACTTTGTGACATAGCACACCACTGCACACACAACGAAATGTGACCTCTGCTTTTAACCCATCACCAAAGTGAGCAGGAGGCAGCTTTAAGCGCCCAGGGAGCAGTGTGTGGGGAGGGTGCCATGCTCAAAGCACCTCAGTGGTAAATTGGCAGCTGGTGGACTCGAACACAAGTCCGCTTCCATAAGAACTAAGCCACCACTGACCGGTGTGGTGTCAGAGCATACGACTATTCTTATTTTTTTCAATGTCTGATCCTAAAATTTTGACCAATATTGGACAGGGTATCAGATCACGCCATTCCTGACTGTGATGTTACAAAACAAATTATCGCCACATACCCCCCACCCATCCCCAGCACGCACACACCCACACGCACTCACCCACATGCACTGTGTTCAGCTTCATCCATACTACTTCAAATATCTTCCTTTTACTTTGACCATACAGACCTGCTGATCATGTACCAACTAAATGCTAAGCACTTTTGCTGTTTTAGCACTGTCCTGGACGAATAGAGCTATATATATCTATTTCTGAACAATTGTATTCCTCCATGTACATTTCTTCCGTTGCACTGTATGCCACAACAAATTCCTCATAGGTGTAAACCTATCTGGCAATAAAAACGTTTCTCATTCTGATTCTGATATAATGTAAACATTTGAGACACTAGAAGTGTGTTGTCATCTGTAGCAACACAGTGGCACTCATGAGGCTGTCCACCTATCTGACTCTAGCTCAAACGTATATACAAACGGGGCTTTGAGATACCAGCTACTCAAGATACAAGCCACTCGATACTACATATATATGTATATATATATACGTGTGTATATATACGTATATACTGTATATATATGTATATATATATAAATATACAGCATATATATATATATACTCACACTCCAGCCACATGAGCTCAAGCATTATCTTGCATTAGGATGAACCGAGGGCCAACACACCAGCATATGGTCTCACAAGGGGTCTGAGGATCTCATCTCGGTACCTAATGGCAGTCAGGCTACCTCTGGCGAGCACATGGAGGGCTGTGCGGCCCTCCAAAGAAATGCCACCCCACACCATTCCTGACCCACTGCCAAACCGGTCATGCTGGAGGATGTTGCAGGCAGCAGAACGTTCTCCACGGCGTCTCCAGACTCTGTCACGTCTGTCACGTGCTCAGTGTGAACCTGCTTTCATCTGTGAAGAACACAGGGCACCAGTGGCGAATTTGCCAATCTTGGTGTTCACTGGCAAATGCCAAACGTCCTGCACGGTGTTGGGCTGTAAGCACAACCCCCACCTGTGGACGTCGGGCCTTCATACCACCCTCATGGAGACTGTTTCTGACTGTTTGAGCAGACACATGCACATTTGTGGCCTGCTGGAGCTCATTTTGCAGGGCTCTGGCAGTGCTCCTCCTGTTCCTCCTTGCACAAAGAAGGAGGTAGCGGTCCTGCTGCTGGGTTGTTGCGCTCCCACGGCCTCCTCCACGTCTCCTGATGTACTGGCCTGTCTCCTGGTAGTGCCTCCATGCTCTGGACACTACGCCGACAGACACAGCAAACCTTCTTGCCACAGCTCGCATGGATGTGCCATCCTGGATGAGCTGCACTACCTGAGCCACTTGTGTGGGTTGCAGACTCCGTCTCATTCTACCACGAGAGTGAAAGCACCGCCAGCATTCAAAAGTGACCAAAACATCAGCCAGAAAGCATCGGAACTGAGAAGTGGTCTGTGGTCACCACCTGCAGAACCACTCCTTTATTGGGTGTGTCTTGCCAATTGCCTATAATTTTCCACTTGTTGTCTATTCCATTTGCACAACAGCATGTTAAATTGATTCTCAATCAGTGTTGCTTCCTAAGTGGACAGTTCGATTTCACAGAAGTGGGGTTGACTTGGAGTTACATTGTGTTGTTTA